TTCCCTCACCACAACCCCACCCACATTTAATTACACATCATCCCACGACCTGACCCAGAAAACCCAAGCTGACAGGCTGCATTAACTAAAGCTGGGTTAAGAAGATGTGCTCTGTGTTCTTCCTGATACAGCTAAGATCTTTCTCTCCTCTCAAGACCTCAGGGAGCTTGACTGCGGCTGAACTCAGGACACTTTCTGTTTGCACATTACTTGGTGCCTAACATATACTGCCATAGGTTATCATTCACGTTTCTGGGGTACATGCCTTGGCTTTCCAACTGGATGGATATAGACTCGTCCAGGGTATAGGCCAGTTTACATCTCTGTTCGTTGCTGTACCACATTTTGCATATATTTGACATGTAATGCATAGCTATCAACCAACATGAAAATAGAAGACTTTAAACATCTTTACTGAGATGAATGACTTGCTGCTCAGAAGAATAAACAGCTGTAGCCATTTTCCAATATCAATTATTTCATTTGTCATTTATGACTGGACATCCATACACTCAAAGCCATTTCGGTTCTCAAAAATTACCAATCTCCAGGTTCTAGCCTAACATGAACTGCATACTATAGAATTCAGAGTAAAAGAGTCAAAGTAAACTTGCATCTTTTTACAGTGTACATTTGCATTTCATTAATACTCATTTAAGATGATAAAGCATCAGCTTAAAAGAGCAAGATTTTCAAACAAGTGTCAACTGAAGGGCTTAACAAAGGTGCTGGACAGATTTTAAATCTTTTGAAGATTTCACTCAGGGCTGCTGAGCCTTTTCCTAAGGTCTGTAACAGATGATCTAGGTCTGTCATTTCAATCTTCTGACGGTCAGCTATCCCTTTTCAGAATCTGATGAAAATCATGCACTTTCTTCACAAAACCCCAAACGTAAAACTGTTCACAAAGCTATGGACCCCAGATTAAGAAGTTCTGCTCTAAGGCCACATATTCCAACATTTCCTTGAAATAGGACCTGGGCATGCCTACATGAATGTTGGGAAAAAGTTCCCAGTTGAATCTGATGGGGAGCTTTGAGAAGAGCTACTTTTATAGCATAATCCTGCAAAAAGGGACCCTAGGAGGAAAATCTAATCTAACACTGTGATTTGACACAGAGGCCATGGAAGCCCAGACTCTCCCTTTCTTAAACGACGTTGCAAGCTACCTGTGCAGCCAGTACTAGAAGTCAGCTCTTCTGACTTCCAGGCCAGTAGGCCTTCTACTACATCATGACATTGTGTTCTGCAGGGTTCCAGAAACACTTGGCTTGCATTATTTTGATTCTCTTGTAACATTTACTTATTTTTTTAATATGATATAAACAAAAATAACAGGTACTAGGACAAATAAATGGTATATTATTTGAATTAGGAGAAAACTAACTAGAAATGGTATTTTGTGATGACTTTATTTCCCTGCTTTTGTTTTGGCTCAGATCTCTGTTTACGAACTTACTTTCACAATTATAGGAATGACTTCAAATTCATAAACTTTTTAACAAACCCAAGATAACTAAGAGTGCAAATATGGAAGCTGATTTTAAAAAGCAGTTCTCTTGTTTGTGTATAAGAGGTGAATTTTCTATAAATCATGTGGCAGGTATCTAAACTCCACCATTACAGATAGTTTTGTTTGTATTTCCTCAGAGACAGCTATATATTTTTAGAGTATTTTTAACTGGAAGTTGTTGTCTAGAATTTTCTTTCTCTGCCTCCCTTTCTCTAAAAGGGGAGGGTGGGAGGGAGGGAGGGAGGGAGGGAGG